TGCATGGGAGGTGCCTGCAGGGAGCAGAAACAGTGAGGGAGAACAGGGGTGACAGGTTTTTGGCACTGGGTCATGGCACTGATTCAAGCCTAGCATTTTTGTGACAACAGAATGGTGTGTTTCCAGGGATTATCCAGACATTATCAGAGAGGAAGGGCTGGAGTGAATATAAAGAAATCTAAAGGTGGTCACTGGGGAAAGACTTCCTTGCAGATGGCAAATTCCTAGCCTCGAGCAGTGATCACCTGGCCTGTCTCAGCTGCAGCTAAGCAGAAAATGAGCCTCTGCCAGAACATGTCCAGGTGCTCCCAATGATCATCCCCTAGAAACCAGAAACCACCCCACAGCACGCTCTCCCAGTTTGCTGGTTTAACAATGTACCCTCACCTTTGCTCAGAATTGATACCAGATAGCTTCAAACTCCACCCGAGGCAGCAGCCACCACTTGTGCAGTGCAGCACAAAGGCTCTTGGGCACACCTTTACCAGCAGCACTGGCTGCTGTGCTACAAGGAGATGGAGAAAGTAAGGGATGCCAGAGACCAGTGCCCTGGAAGCCCATCACTCTATTCACTGACACCCCACATTCAAAGCTCTGACAAGCTCTTCTTTAATGGATCCTGTACCTCAGCAGAGGAAGTAATTTATAAACGTGTCCCCTGACAAGGAGAACAGGGGGACTGAAGAGTGATGTCTGCCTGCAGTGACAGCTCTGTTGCAGATCTACAAATCCCAGCTTTCCCTGAGATGTAAAACTTCCTACAGCACATTAAATCCAGGTCAAATACACAAAGGAGTATCAATAAGAGAATCTTCTTTCCTAGCTTATTTCCTTTCCAAAACTACAGGTGATCAGGTCCTGCCACTTGAGAAGCACTTGCAGACCAACCGTTTCTAAAAGCAAGAGAAGAAACACAGCCCTGCTCTCACGTCAGAGTGACAAACCTCTGTAAAACTATTCGCTTCCCTCCCCTCCTACTCACTCGCGTTTCAAAAAAAATTAGTTCAAAAGCAGCTCTTTAAAGAGGTTATATAATAAGTGGTTTGTACCACGAGGCTGGCTAGTTTTAGCCCAGCTACTTAGATCACAGTTGGATTTTATTTCCTGGTTAGCTGGCGGCCTCATATGCAGTGACGAGCCTGTGGGCAGAGGATGCTCCTGGGCCATTGCATTTCCCAGCCAGGAGAGTCAGTACCACAGGGCTCTGCTGCTTCTGCCTATTCAGTAACGAGCTCTGCTCTTGTATCTGTCCAATTCCAGCTCCCAGACAGGAAGGAAAGTGGGCAGTGCTTGGAGATTCCTACTTTTTCACAGATCATGGTTATGTTTAACATGCTCCATCCTCACAGCAGCCAAAAAGCCATTTGCAGCAGCACTGGGCTCCCCAGGGGCCAATCTCGGCACAAAGAACCCTTGCTGAAAGTTTAGTGAGGTCATATGTCTGGCAAATGTAATGGCAACAAATTAAACTACTTTTTTAAGAACTTGGCTTCCACCGTGCCTTGGAGATCCAAAACAAAATCCTTAACTCTTCGTAGCCTCCCCCTGCACAGGGTTCACCACATGAAGTTTTCAAGGCAGGATTTGTCCTCAAGCAGTGCAGAGGCCATGTCAGCCCAAGGACAAGCCACAGGCAGCTCCTCACCTGGCTGCTCCACTGCTCCCCGAATTAACAGCTTCACACATGGGACACTACAGATGTGCCCACATTAAAGAAAAGATCATGACTGTAAAAATAAAAGTGAGTTTAACTCGTTCAATTCAGCATTCAAAAACTGTGCTGCTTAGTGGATAAAGCATGGAGCCTCAGGACAAGACAGGCAACAGGATTTGGGATCCTTAAGGTTTTCCTTTTTTTTGAGGTTGTTGCTCAATCTTTAAGCACAAAGATTAAAATGTAAATCTTGTCTTTTCCAAGCCTTGCCTGGCTCTCAAGCAATAGTCAGCCTTCAGAAGTGCTGGTATGTTTTAAGTCCTGTTCCAGGTAAGAGGGTTGTAAAGGGGAAAATGAAGTTGCTGAGATTTAGGACAAAGAAGGTAGATAATACTGTCAGAATCTTTTCAGATTACCTTTCTTGCCACTTAAATCATATAGAGGTTGTAAGATTGCATCTCTTCCTGACTCCCCACACCCATCCACCCTGGCTTACCTCTACAACAACAACATGGAACAAGAAGTTAATTCCAGAAAAGCAATTTTCCTGCCCTGCTGCTTGTGGTTAGCATAGAGCTAATTTTTTCCCCCAGTAGCTCTTATGGGCCTGTTTCAGATTTGTGCTGGTAACAGAGTTGATAATTCAGGGATGCTTTAGCTGCTGTTGAGCAGTACTTACACAGAGCCAAGGCCTTTTCTGCTTCTCACTCTACCCCAAGAGAGGCGGCTGGGGGACAAAGAGTTGGGAGGGGACAACCAGGACAGCTGATCCCAGCTGACCCAAGGGATATTCCAGACCATGTGGCATCATGCTCAGCATAAAAAGCTGGGGAAAGAGGGACAAAGGGAGGGTATTCAGAGTGATGGCATCTGTCCTCCCAAGTCACCATTACAATGTGATGGAGCCCTGCTGTCCTGGGGATGGCTGAACATGTGCCTGTCCATAGGAAGTGGAAAATGAATTCCACATTCTGCTTTACCTGATCAACTGTCTTTACCTCAACCCACAAGTTTCCTCAGTTTTAGTCTTCTGATTCTCCTCCCCATCCCACTTGGGGTCACTGAGGGGCTGTGTGGGGATTAGCTGTCAGCTAGGGTTAAAACACAACACCCTACATCTCACTTGTCCTAAGCATTTGAGCACTTAACCTGTTTTAGAAGCACAATTACATCTTCCAAATGGATTCACTCAGAACATCTGAAAAGGAAAAGCATCTGTATCAAAAGTGCCCAAATGTGAGCACCTCTGGACACACGAAATGTGTAAATTGTACTGTCATCCTCTCTAAAATACTATATTCAAGTTGCTTCTTTGTTTCTAAAACATTAGGAACTACACATTAAAAGGATGCAAAGGCTATTTTTAAAGCAAATCACAGAATATTCTGAGTTATTCTGAGCTGGAAGGAACTCACAAGGATTATTGAATAGCCCATACAGGGATCGAATCCACAACTCTGGCATTATTAGACCCTCGCTCTGACCAACTGAGCTTAAAAACTGATGTAGGAATATTTAAATTTCCCCCACCACATCCCAATCTCAAAGGCCAGTCCACAGCACTGAGGATCAAGTTGAAAGTTTAGGCTCTTGCAACTGATTTTTGTCATTATTTCAGTGGCAGCAGATCAGGGCAGGCACAGCTTTTTTTTTCTAGCAGCAAATTGGCCACAGCATCTTTGAGTCCCTTCCTCCCCACCCATCTGCATCACCACACAAGCTCATTTCAATGAAAATTATGTCAGTCTCTCAGCAAAAAGATACTGAAAGGTTAGAGCAAGAGCACAGAATCTCACCACTGAATTGATTCCATTAAGGAAAAGTAATGATTTATCAGATTCAGAGCCTGGAAACAGAAAACAAAGTCTGTGGCAGAACAGAGAGAAACTCATCATCAACCAAGCAGGAAAATGAGAAAGCTCTCAGCCTCCCACAAGTGAAGGAGTGAAATATTGTGATCATGCCAGCAAGGGGATCTTAGAGATGTACAAAGGATCAGGAGGGAAGGAGACCAGAAGCTTCCTAGTGCTGGCAAGAAAACACAACCAGCTCCTCCCATGTGGGATGAGGAGCATTAACACCACCAAGGTGCTGTCCCAGCTAACACAGCCTGAAACACAAACAATACCAAAAACCATCCCAAAGCCAAAACCACACCTCCTGGCCTTAAAACCAGCTAAACTCCACGTGAAGTAAAGATGCCAGCCTGTCCTCAGGCAAGCATCCAGAGGGCCACAGCACATGCAGAGATGGAGGCCCTGGAAGCTCTGCAAGGCTGGCAGGTGCTGGTGGCACAAGGTACCACCAAGGGCAGGGACTGGGCAGCCTCTCTGTCTGCAGAGATCAGACAGACAGTGGGGAGGAGGTGCTCAAGGTCCTGCAGCTCATTTCTCCAGGAATGGGGGTCAGAGTTTATTGCAAGAAAGGAGACCACCAGTATGTGTTAGCAGACGAAGTGTTGCAGACAGGATCTCCCAGAAGTCCAAATTCTTGTGCAGCTACATACTGAACACCTGCTCAGGCCTCAAAAAAGTCAGGAGGAGCGATGAGGGGAGGAGGGTGCCAGTGATGAGCTACTCAACTGTGAAACCATCAAAATGAACAAAAATTAAAGGCAGTCCAGTATGAGAAGAGGGGAGTTCCATGATGGAGAAAACATTCCACTGTTTAATTCCTTTCCTGTCCCTTTGCCTTGCCTTTAATTTAAGAAGCAAAGATGAAGCAAAATCTCCTTGGAAATCACCCTGCATCTGACAAGCTGGGGCCTCTGTTCCAGCCTCAATCATTTTTCCTATATTGCACATGGGAGCAGGCTAAATGTGTCAGATTTAATCACCTCTGCACAAATATCATGCAGGGTCTCAGCTGCTGTGTCAGATTTGCTGTGTGAGACTCACCTGAAACAAACCCTTCCAGGTGCCAGTAGCACAGGACCTCACCTGCTTGATATGGTCCTAGACCAGAAGTGAAACACCACTGCCCCAAATACCCTGAGAGCACTTTGCTTCTCACCTTCAGCCAACACACACCTCAGCAACAAGCCTAATACAGCCTGGGCCAGGCATCTGTAAACTCCAAGGTGCTTACACACTTTAAAACTAACTTAGTAGGACCAGAGACAGGAGAGATGTGACCTTCCAGGTTAGTACTCAGTCCACATGCTGGCTGCTGTACTTCTGGAAAGCACAAGAGATCACAATTGTTACCCACACTTACAAATAAAATATTGCTTTTATTTTAGTAAAGTTACAAAGCTATTTACAGATACAATAACTATACATTCAAATTGAAAAATAGAATGTGCTCAAAATTGTTAAAGCAAGTCACACACAGTCTGGAACTCCCAATGCCTTCACCTCTTGTCTGATTTTTAGGAAATCAGTTCGTTTTGTTCTGAATGATTTTCTGCTGATTCTCAAGACATTCCTTCAGCTTGTCTTCAGTGAGTGTCAGCCTCTGCTCCAGGATGGAAACTGTCTGCAAAACAAAGTGAAAGCTGCTGTTGAGCTACTGACAAAGACACACTGCACACTGTACTCCCAATAAGATGTGCCCAATAAAATGCTAAATTCACAGGAATATTTCGAGGTATTTCCAGTATCAGCATTCCAGCAGGACAGAGCCCCTCATGACTTCAGAGAGGAGCAATAGAAGGCAGTGGGCACAAAGCCCTCCTGCAGACAACACCAAGCACCCATTTCAGCACTGGTGCTTTCACACTGGGCTTTCATTTCCTTTCCTGGACAGGTCCATGAGGCACCAGAACTGGAGAGCCACCAGAAACGCTTCTGCTAACGAGACACACAGATTTTAAACAGTTTTGCTCAGTTATGGCTCTGATTTTGTCTCTTTGCTTCCAACCATTTCCTCCCTTTCCTGAACACCATGGGTCTGCTGTAATTAAAACACTCAAAACTTGCTGGAGAAGCACCATAACAGGCAAGAAAACCTTCCCAGTCTAACACAATGCAACAGGAGACAGAGGGGAAAAACTCCAAGTGGCAATATCTATCTCAACATAATGTCTACATTTTTTTGTGCAATCCAGTTACCCTGCAAAGGATTGTTCTCTTTCTCCTCGAGCTGAAGTCATCATGTACAGGATGCACAGGAAGAACATTTTAACCACGTGGCAATAAAAGCTTCTGCTGAAAACCTTTTATTGATCACTCCAAGATAATCAAGGGCCTCAGCTATGCACAACCACTTTCAGCTTCCAGAAACATCAAAATGGCTGATAATGGGTGGTGATGATTTAATGCTTTAATATCCATAAACTTATCAGCAACAATCAATAGCTTCACGTTTTGGGCATTTTTACTGCATAAATAACATCCTCTGCCAAAAACAAAGGATGCTCAGAACCTTGGACTTTAATAAAGTAATTCAAATAAACTTGGACAACCGCTGTTTGTATAGCAGTTATACATAGAAAGCCTTTTAATAGCGCATTTCGTAAGCACATCTCTAAGTGCCTGACAAAAGCAAGCAGGTCTCATTATCCCCATTTTACAGCTGGGGAAACGAAAGCACAAAGAGAGGAAATAGCTTGGCTAAGGCCACTTGAGACTAAGAAAAGTCTGCTGTAAAATGATTTGGGGAATGAGACAAGTCATGGGGGAGAAGAGAAAACAGACATAGTAAAAGCAGCAGGCGTAAGGCAAAGCCATCTTGCAAGACTGCATCAAGGAAATCAGGAAGGGCTTGAGATTGTTCAGTGCATCACCATGCACCTTTTTTTTCCTCCCTAAACACAGTTCAAAGCTGATTTCTGATCTATTTCTTATTTCTGACCTGTGACAAGGCAGAAGAGCTCTGCTGCAGCTGTAGAAAGCTTCACCTGAAAGAACAAACCCTGCACTGCCCAAATGTTCCATGGACTACAGCACCAGCCGTGTTTAAGTCTTTTCCTCTATTTCCATCCCTTTAAGGCACAGGAACTGAAGTACACAGAGAACCTGAAGAAACATTGTGGAGCAGGCAGGTAACGTCCCAAGTGCCCCAAAGCCAGCAGGAGCCCTCCCATCTATTCAAAGGAGAGAGGACTTAATCTTTCCCACATCCAGCCATGCCATTGCCTAGTGACTGTCTTGGAGACCAGGAACAAAGCTATCAAGGGCAGAACACAGCAGGCTGAATATCTACCAGGGGTTTACAGCAAAGATCTTATCCTTCAAGCAACCAGACAGAATGAAAACCAGTAGGGATCCTGGTTTTTCCATCTAAAAAATGAACTAGTAACTCAACACTCTAATAAAAAAGAGGGAAAATGAAACATTGCATCAAATTTCCTTTAGAAAGATAATCAGCTGAATTAATGTCCCAGTCACACTGCCCTGCCAGAAGCAATACCCAGATCACTCGTGGTTCCTCTGTTCTATGATTTACTGCCACCATGATCCTGTCAACAGGAGTTAAGAGCTGCTACACACAGCACCATGAGACACAAGTAAAGCAGATCTCACAGTGTTGAATTTGTGAAAAAACTGCAAGGAAAATGTTTATTGGAATGGAAATTGCATGTAAGTATAAGCAGAAACTTGCAGCAAGTATTTTTTGGAAACTAAAAGTGGAAAAGTAGCAGTCAGAAATGAAATTCAGGAAGTCCAAATTAGGAATCAATGACTATAGTCCATTTAGACTTGGATGTATGATGAATATAAATAGACAAGGCATCTGACATCCTAGGAAGGTAAGGGAAAGCACAAATACTGCCCATCTGCTGAAAGTGCTATATTGCAACTTGCACAGAAAAGCTCCTTTATTAGCAGCTGAAAGTTTTACAGTATTTCCATGCTGCCATTTATAAAGCAAATCATTCTCAGGAGGCAAATGAAACTGCACCCATTCAACTCCTGCATGCTTTTGTTATGGCTTCTCAAAGGTAACAAACCAGCAGTTAAGCCAAGGAGGAGAACACTCTTAGCCAGGTCCAGTAAGGATTCACCAGGGCCAGGTTTGCCCTCTGTGGCAGGATCTGGAAGGATCTGTGTCAGAACGTCTCCAGTACGCATCCAAAATGCCAGATAATTTACTGAAGTCCTGGCTCAAATTGGCAGAACCATAACAGCTTAGGCTTAAACACGAAAAAAAGACCAAGTTATTTATTTTTAAGGAATATTTCTGACATAACAGTAATATACTGAGCATTACTATGGGCACCAGAACAGAATACAGGAATTTTTGACAGAAAACTTAAATGACTTCTACCAACACTTCCTGCAACATTCATCTTCATTTATCTTCACAGACTCAGCATTGAAAAAACCCATTCTTCTCTTTGGAAACATTAATGAGAAACTACGGAGAAATAAAAAGTTGCCTTCTATTTACTTAAAAATTCTGGGGAATATTCACTTCCATCCTCCCCCAGGACACCTAAACTGAGGCACCCATGTAACCATGCTTGCTTACCTGATGACAAGCCCCTTATCCTATTCCTCCATGTTATTTTTACAACCCAAATAACAGTGATTTGGGATGCTGTTCCACGAAGCTTTCATTGGTATCTTTTCCTTAGTCCCTCTTAAATATGTTTGATTAAACAGTTTAAAAGCCACTGGCCTTAGGGTTGAAGCTTCTGCAGTAGCCCTGGAGGGGCTTTTAAGGAAGACCCATAAGGGGAACCAGGTGCTAAAGTGAATGCCAAAAGAAACCCCAGTTCCACCAGCATCGAAGGAAATCTAAACAGCAGAGTCCAGAGCAAGGGAGCAGAGGTCACTAGCAAGCCTCTGGAGCAGCAGTGCTCCCTGCCAGGAGAGATCCAGCCAGCCAGATGGCTGCTAGGAGCTAAAGCACTACTTAACCTGGAGCTGGGGACGAGGCAGGCGAGGGCACAGAAGGGTGGAATCACTAATGCTCAGCTCACCCTGCTAAGGGACACTCTCTGCAAGGCCAAAGGTGCAGCACAGGGCTTTTCCAGTCTGCACACAGTGGCCCTGAGTTAGCCATATAATAGCACAGGGGACAGAGGAGCCTGACTGATCACCAGTAATCAGGGAACTCCCCAAAAAGAACGGACACGGCCGTTCCTCAGATCAAGTTACACCACTTGGCTGAACCTAACAAGAGATATGATCCTGCAGTGACTGCACCACAGATGTGTTCTTGGCTCTGTGCAGAAAATATAGGGCAAATGCACTTCTATTCCTGTTTCTTCACAGCAGAAAATCCCTCTCTCCATTGATCTCAAAGGAAGAAGTAGTTTTCTAGCTTTACTTAAAAAGACCCTCAAAAGTTTGCTCCACTGTTTTTTTCTAAGCATATGCTAAAAGATTTTGCAGAGCACCAACATATCAAACAGCTCAAAGAAAAAAAACATTACTTCTGCCTCTTCAGGTTTTTCTTCCCTATCTGACATGTTAATTTATGAAGACAGCATTCTCTTATCAATTTATAAAAAAAAAATCACCCACAATGAACACACAACAAGTGAAGAAGTTTGTAATTTTCCTTTACTACAGTTTCTCCACTCCACTGTGTGGGTACTAGGAAGAACTTAGGGATTGATGGTTTTTAAGAGGTCTGTTGAAGACTACAGATGTCCCGAGGATTTACAGAACGAGATTTGTCACGTCTGACCTGGAGTTAAAGGCTAAAGAGCTCTGCCCCCTTAACACGCACGGCCAGTGCAGGTGTGTTCTCAAAGACTGTAACTTCTTGTGATTTCCCCTAAAATTAGCAATTTCAGAGCTCACTTCATTCCCAAACACAGCCAAGTACAAGTGAACTGCATCATAAAAATGCTGCCTTAGCACCCAAGGGGTACCAGGTAAATTAAGCTCGGGAGCCCTTTCTCTAAACTAATGCAATGAGTGAAACAAATTACTATGGGAAGGGTTTGCACTGGGGTAGCCCTACCTACATTTTACAAGAGGAAAAAAAAAACCTTAACTCCTGCCACTAACCACAATTTACAACTCCAAACTGCAGCTGTGAGATTGAAAGGCTCATGGGAGAACTTATGCAGCGAGAGTTCAAGCATGAACCTGTCTGGCAAGAACAGCTTCTCCTCCTCCCATTCTGGGTTTTGCCCCAACATGCTGCCAGTGTCCCTGCACCTCAGCAGCTGCATTTGGACCCCCAGAGCAGATCCCTGCTCTTACCAAGCACACTTAAAAAGAGCTGGGCTGCTCTCCTCACGTGCAAATGGTAATTTAACACCTTTGAGACGGCACTCAAACCAGCTACACACATTCTGCATGCTCTGAAGCATTCTAAGCAAGAGTTGGCAGCCCAGACTAGTGAGGAGGTAAGTCTCATTTCACAGTACAAGAAGGCATGAAGCTTTCACAGTAATTAACATTTTATGTAGCAAACGAATGCCTGCAAGGACCAGCCCTAGTCCAGTGGTCAAAGCCTTAACCTCAGAGTGGGTTTTGGTTTAAAATAAAATGTGGGGTGATTTCTAACAGAAATGATAACTCCTCTTGTGCTCAGACTGAAACAAGACGTGCTGCCCCAAACATTTTAAATCA